CGATATTCTGCTTTCCTCTTTATCTATTACTCGTTCTCGTATCGTACAATACGATTGGGTATGACACGCAAGCTTGTGATTAAGCGAACCTTTATTTCATTAGCTCTGATTTCGAATTATTGTTTATAGTTGAGATATAACATGCTTCTTTTATATGGAATCAAGAAAAGAATAAAGAGATTATTACGATTAATTATAATACTTGAACAGTATTGCAATAATATTGTATACAGTCAAACGTTGATACGTATTTTGATATAAACAAGACGATTATTACTATCTACGCTTATGATGTGTTAGCGAATTGTGATAGAAAATTATTTAAAATGTTACTATATTGATGGATGTTACCCTGTCGTTGAAAATACATGAAAATGTATTTTGGATAAATCACTAATTGCATTTTCGCGTTACGTACGTCAGCGAATTTTAATGAAATTAACCTGCGAATATCACAAATGCGTAACGTTCCAGTTAACGTTCAACGAGATCAACTTTCAACTATTATTAATGAGTATAATACAAAATAATCATTATTAAAAGACTTCAATGAAAAAGAACAATCTTGGTTCACGATGAAATTCTAAAATAATGTCGAAACGTTTTGCATCCTACTACGATAGAGGGTTGGTAGGTACTAGGAAACACGCGAATAGGTAATTAAGTAAAATTTTCATTCATTACCTTTTGTCACGAACTTTTCATTAAGCGTGACTCGCTCTAGCAGGCACGTCTCTCTTTGCAGTCGTCCACTTCACACCCTCCCTTCACCCTTGCCTTACTACTCCCTCTCGACACTTTATTATACAGTATTCACTAATTTCACTTCCGTTTTGGTTCGGTCCAATTCTCTCACACTGTGTTTCCTTTCGTTAGAAGCACGTTTATCTTTTCAACGTGAGCATCTCATCTACACATACATCACACACACACTTATATATATAGCGTTCATTTGTGAAATCTATTAATTCGTGAAATAATCAGCTATTACATAAAATAATTAATGTGATCAATCACAGTATTAAAAATAAGACAAAATTGCATATTTCAACAAGATAATATATGAATTTGCATGAGCAGACAAAAGTTAAGGTACGAAATTGAAATTTGATCCGTAGATTAGTTACGATAGAAAAGCAAGACTAATAGAACATTGGTTTTCAAAGTACACGTAGAAATAAGAACGGATAAATACGATCATTATTGTAGAAAGAAAAGCACATTTTAATGAAGGATTAAATTTCAATCGTATACTTTAGTTACTCTCTTCTAGTGAATTCATATATATAATCTCCTTATTTTCTAGAACTATTATTTTTAATGTATAATAAAATTCTTTTTATATTCATCCCAAAATATATTTAGCTATTTTGCATAAAACCTACGATTTTTAACGGATTCATTGAATTATACAATTTAACACTATATATACAAATATACGCATACATATATATGCATATTATGCACATATACAAACACACATATCGCGTGTGTGTTTTCTAATACCGTTTAATTTATCATCTTATTTATATTAGATAAAATGTTTTATATTCACTTTTTTAACGATACTCTAATTAATATTATTTAAATAATAAATCGAGGTAAATGTGTATTTCGTCTTAAATACAATGCTAATATATACACGTATGTACATATATATACATATATCACTCGCCAGCAGTATGCACACTCCTGTATATATGCATATCATTTGCATATTAACAAAACACGTACACGTATACATATGCCAAATAAATTTGATATTTTTTCTAATATCATTTATTTCTCGACGTTTAAAAAAGACTGACAATGAGTATGAAAATACCAACGTAATGTACTAGACGAAAGGTGAAGATATACATCAAGTATACTACTTCTCAGTTTGTAGGATTTAATTTCTTCTATTTCAGCATCCGATAAAAATGATATCTTGTAATTATATATTAATTACTGTATATATATTTATATCTTCATTTCTTTCGTTCACAGGCACTTATACATATTCTTACAGTATATATTATTATTATTATTATTATTATTATTATTATTATTATTATTAATTGTGGCATTATATAGGAACTCGAAAGTTCATATAATATATGTATGTATATAAGTATTATTCTTATGTACGTATATACGTAAATAGAATACATATACTTATACATGACATAGAAAAGTTTCGGGTTTCGTTGAACGCATTTTGTCGAGAGACCCGCAGGTGGTAAAGGACCGAGGGTTGTATGCCACGAAAGACTTTGTGAAACTCGTAAGAAATTAAACTTTCTTTCGCAAACTCTCTCTTCTCATCCTCTTTTGGCAGTCGTAGTTTCAAAGCTCGCTCTTTACTCGTCTTTTATTCTCTTTCTCTTTTCTCTCTCTCTCTCTCTCTCTCTCTCTCTTGTCTCTTCTGCCTCTTACTTCAGTTTCCTTTAAAGATCTTCATAGCAGGAATATTGTGGTTATGCGCCGGAATAAATACTTATAAACGATATTTGTAAAGGAAACGTGTTAGTGTGGAAGTTATGATTGTTAAATCACTCGACGTTTTAATATGTAGTATCATGAATGTTCAATTGTCTATAATATAAATTATTGTTTTTTTTTTTTTTTAATACTGTACATTTTGTTGTTGTTATTATTAAGATTTCCACTTACGTTAGAATAAAATTGATATATACATATTGCATATTGATAATACATATTTAATCTGTCATATGTTCAATAATATTTCAGTGTTATATTTTGATCTTAATTAGATTGATTTCAAATCAATTATTATTCTTAATAACGGACAATTGTACATATGGTGAACATTTAATCAATATACTATATCAATGTTTGCTTATAATACATACTTTATAAGTATTATGAATAGACAGAAATTCAATGGCTACCGAAAAGTGGGTCTTTTAGATATTATAATGAAATGAAAAATGACAATGGAATGGGCGTAATGACAAAGTTCGTCATACGGTAACTCATCCCGCTATTTCATTGCGCTCAGATTGATTTGGCTGAGGGCAAGTGCAAAAGCGTGGCAGCAAACAAGGGCTAATAACGGAACGAATAGAACCACAAGAGTGCGACGTGATGCGTACAAATAACTGAGCGAGAGAAACAGGAAGCTTTAAGAGAAACATTGAATGAATAAGAGAGAGAGAGAGAGGGAGAGAAGTAGGTAGGAGGAAAGGGTGAAGGAGAGAAGGAGAGAAAATGTTAAGGGGGAATTCTCGGAAGCGAGATGGAAAACGTGACCGCATACGCAGAAATGAGGACGAGTGAGATGGAATGAGAACAAGCGAGAGAGGAAAAGAGATAAAACGATGATACGTGTCACCACAGTGATTCGATGTAACGAGATTATCTTTATTTTGATATTGTCTTTTTTCTTTTTTTGTCTTTTGGTAGGTATGCTTGGATGTTTTTCCAAGCGTATAAAACACAACATGAAATTATATATAATACTTTTCTTTCAATATTTTATATCTCATTTCGATTGAAAAGTTGTATCATATTTATGCATACGTTATTACAAACTACCCCTTATTGAGTTTTTTTTTTTTTCATTTCATTTCATATCTTTTGTAAAGAATTTTTTGTTGTCCCTTCATAGAATTTGTCTTTTCTATTTTGTTGTTGTTGTATGCATATACTTTACATAAAGATAACATCGTTTGTTTTTCAAGTAGGTAATACTCGATGTAGATGGAAGCAATCTTCCCCGAAAACGTGTCGTGTACAAAGTTTACGAATAACCGAGAGTGTGTGAGAGAGAACTCGATGAGTTTCTTCCTGCCAGTTGCTCGACAGAACTTTCTCGCAGTCTAAAAGCTGCTGCTAAATGCACAATTAACACTTCGCCGCGAATTCCGGAAAGTACAACAGTTATAGTGCAATAGGAAGGGGTGTAGAGGAAATAAGGCGGTAGGAATATGGCAGACAGATTGCATTTCCTTGAATTTTGTTTTTTCTCCTTACGAGACATTCGCGGTAAGGAGGTAAAGAAGTGCTCTTTAAGCACGATACATTCGTAAGCTTTGAAGATTAGCTTCATCGTATTCCTCAAAGTCTTTCTTAAGAGTTACATCTTTCTAATTACGAAGATTAAATAAAACTAAGTGAAAAGAGTAAACGTGATAAGGAACTTGGAAATGTTCATGGAAATTCGACCAACTTTCTTCTTACTTTCTTATTCATTTTATTTTTCTTACTAATTTATGTCACCTTCCAAAAATAAATAATCTTCAAAGTCTTATTTTTTCTTCGTATATCTCTCTTTATCCGGTATATTCCACTGATGCATTGCACAATTGTACAAACTTTTAATTGATTTTTCTTTTAAAACCCAACAACATGTTCTTTTCCAACTATCGCTTAAGATAACCGAATTCTTCAAATTCTTAGAAGAGAGTTAGCTCTTACAGTTAGATCTTTTGATCGTATGCGTTAGAAAAGTCTTTACAAGAACTCCATTAAGTTTTAGCTTAACGAAAAACGATGCCTTTTTACGATACAAAAAATCTATCAAACTAGTCTAAATGAAAGACAATAAGTATCCAAATATTTTTAAAATAAGTCGATACTTGTAATGTTAAAACAACACAATGAAATTATTTCATAAATTTACACATATTTAAAAAACTACTCTGTATATCGCTCGAAACTGTATTCGTCCACATAAGAGCAAAATATACTGCCGAAATACAGAATCCCTGGATAAGAAGAAAAAAAAGGGAAGAAAATTAAAAAAAAAAAAAATAGAGAGAAAGAGAAAGAGAAGAGTAGAAGGGTACAAAGAGAAGAGAGAGAGAGAGAGAGATACGAGTGTCGCTGAGAAGTAGAACGACAGAGAAAGAAAGAAAGAATGAGTGGGAGGATGAGTGTTTGAAGCGAGCGGGAAACGTTGAGCCAATCGGAGAGTCGTTCGGTGCAGACTGCACAGTGGGGGCTGCGCAACGTGTCTTACGGAGCAGTTGATAACTGAACGCGTTCAACGCAGCATCCGTTTTCGGTTTCGCGCTCAGTCGGCTGCCGGAGTTCGTACAGCGTGTTCTATCATCTGGCATCTTTTTATAGGTTCGTAATATAAATAAAGTTATCGTTCAATTAAACCGAATGTTCTTTCTTTTTGTTTATTTATATATTCGATCGAGTGATCGAGATTATTCATAAAAAAAAAAAATTAATATTACAAGTGTTCGGTAAAGAGTTAAAAGAATATTTGAACATTTTCGAGAAGTGCAGTTCCCGATTGGTTGGTTTGAGCTGCTATCAAACACGTCAACTTTGTTTTCCTGTTTGGTGTTTTTATGGTAAGTTTTATTTTATTTTATTTTTTTTTTTAAATTATTTTTCAATACATTTCAATACTTTACTTTCTTTCAGATATTAGAGTTTTTTTTTCTAATGTAGGCAGACGTGTTCTCGATATTTTTAGCGTTGGCGGTGGATACGCGTGTTGTGTGCCGTAGCTCGGAAACCGGGAGTCCAGTTTTATGGCGCGATTACGAGGTTTCTATTTTTGTTCGTGTTGCAGTGGGTCGAGCCAGACTGACGTCGCCGGCGGCGTCATGTCAACGTTTGAAGTACTGAAAAACGTCTTCTTTGAATGAACGAACACATGCTTACTTTTTTTTCTCCCCCATTCTCTATGTGTCTATATATATGTATATATATTGTTAGTTTGATAAGGAATTCCATCGAAATAACGAGAAGGATAGTTCGCGTTTTATCGGTTCGCTAAAAGATTAGAATAAACGAGCGTGTTACACTTTCACAATTATACAATAAAATAATAACAAGTGTTATTTGATTAGTCATTATCATCGTTCTAGTTTTACTATTTCATGAAACTTCTTTAATTACGATTTTAATCTGTTATATAGAAATCATTTATTTTACTTTCTTTTTCTATTATAATTATAATATTAATGATGAAATATTGAAAGTTTATTAAATTACAGTAATTATGTTAAATGTAAATAATATTTTTATAATTTAAAATATATATTAGAATTTTTTGCATACGAAAGATCATAGAAGTCATACAAATTTTGATAGGATAGAAATATAAAATAATTCGATTAAAGTTTAGTTTTTAATGATCATAAACGTTGTAAAAAAGGGTCAAGTTATAGAATGCTGTCTTAATGAAAGATTCCCACTGTACAAAAGCCCCATAGCCTTTGACCTGTTCGAAACGAGGAAGATTACTGAGGTCAGTGCACGAAAGGAGTCACTACCGGTTAGACGTCTGAAGTTGTCGTTGGAATGGTTGAAGGGTGGGGGAAAGGGACAAGGAAAGGGACAAGGAAAGGGACAAGGAAAGGGAGAAGGGAGAGAGAGAGAAAGGTGTGTGTGTGTGTGTGTGTGTGTGTGTATGTGTGCGTTAATCACAGAAGGTCGACTTTTGGGGCTTTCGTGCTGGCGGCAATGTGGGTTGAATTGCTTTTGGAATTCTAGAACGTGTGTCTTCAAAGAAACGAGTTTGCGTTAACTCACTTACGATAATGTATTATGTCACTTAGTTTAAGTAATGGAAACGGAACAACTCAAATGACCAAATATAAAGTACATATGAGATCAAAGGAAATTATTTGAATAGTCTTAAAAGAATGTTCAATTTTCTTACTTATACGTTTATAATACGTTATTATAGTAATTTTAGAACTATTTTAACATCAAAATGATCATGTTATTTCGATAATATATTATATTTTTTGTTTCATATTAATTATGTATTACTTACAGATAATATTTCAACGATAATGGAGATCATTTATTTCTAATTAATTAAAATTTCTAATTAATCTAATTAAATAAAATGGTATACCATGTAAATATATAAAAATAATATATTACGCATGCCATTTCTTATTTTAGCAGTGATAAATATATAATGTGTACATTATGAAATAATCTATCTAATCCGATTAGATATAAAAAGACAAATGGTTAAAATGTGAATCTTTGTGAAAAATTTTGAGAAATTTTAAGAGCTCTTTTAAAAGCTACATTTTCATATACATATATATATATATATATATAAACATAAAAAATAGTTCTCACTTCTGACAGAGGAAATGTAAGTAATGTATCTTTAGCGAACAGCAACGAAGTTTGTTTGAAAGTCCCTACGGACAGCTTGGCCCTCATTGTCTTCGAAAACAAGCGTCTCTGCTCGTGTATCAAGAGAACTGGAGCAAGAGATACGAGTTTGTTTAGTCGCTTTTTCATTCTCTCTTTCTCTATCTCTTTTTCTTCTTTCTCTTACGACTTTACGATATATTTTTTCTGTTATATTTGTTTACTTTTATTTCTTCTTTTCTTATATTCGAATAAAAGAAGTTTTCTCATACTTTTTCTCGAGATATTGTTTTAATAAGTTTATAAAATATTTTTGAAGATAATATTCTATCGATATAATAACCATAATATATTTAGAAAAAAATATTCTTACATGTCATACTATTCCTTCTCCTTCACACATGATGAAAATAAAATGTTCGTGAAAAACGGACAAAATTCAATACGATATCTATCTTTTAATCGCGTAAGCTTCGATCAAGTAGTTACGGTGTCATGGAGCACTACTTGAGTATCTCTCGTGGGATTTGAGACGAGAGAGAGCACTTCGAAGGTACTTTACGAGTCCCCGACAGTGTCGTTCGCATTAAAAGGAAGAAAAAAAAAAGTGAATCGTCACTTAAACTGGTTAGGACGATTCGTCATCTCGCTTTCTCGCAAGTTAAGCAAGCGATAAACGCGGACGTTGACCGAGTTAAAACGTGCTCTGCTCTGCTCTGCTCTGCTCTGCTCTTCTCTCTCTATCTTTCTCTCGTATTTCGATCATCGTATTTCGATGTCACATCTTTAAATTTATATTTAAATAATGCACTTTATTTCTAACCAAGATGCACATTTTTTGATCTATTGGTCTCCGTTTCGATATAATATTATTTACTTCTAACAAAAATCTCGTATAGTGTCGTTTTTTTTTGTTTTCTAACTCTTTCTTTTTATTTTTTTTATTTATTTTTTTTTTTTTTTAGTAAACTAATTCGATCTGGCATATATGCTTTTATGTTATAAATGTATATGTCGTGTATCTTCAAAAATATGACTTGTTGAAGCGCCAAAGAGAAAAAGTGTATACACAATGCGTATATCGTGGTCAATGGTAACCAAAACCCCTGTCAAATATTTTGCAAACATTCCTTTTTTATTTTTTTTTATTTTCGTTTTTTTATTTTCTTTCCCTTTTTTTATTTACAGCTATCCTATATTTTATCGACATCACATACAATACGAGTTACAGACAAAAAAAACCAAGCACGGTTAGGTAGTTTTTAGTTATTAAATTGAACGTGTATTATTATTTCGTTTATACATTTCATGCGAATGTAATATTACAATTTTTCTCTTAAATGAAAAGAGGTATCTTTTTTACAAAGTTGATAATTGTTATGCTATTGATTCGTTCTTTTCATTTAAATCGAAATATGTATTTTGTTTTACGTATTTCTATTTTTGCGTATATAAATTTTACTTAAAAGTAATATCTTTGAATAAATAATTAATAATAAATTATACATATACTTGCAACGTTTTTATTTAAAAAATAATAAAAAGCAAAATCTTCAAAATGAAGTACAACCAAATTTTATTATACATATTTTCAACATATTTTCAAAAACCCGCAAAAGTATTGAATAAGATTAAACTAGCAATATATAAATTGACACACATTACTTGTATTCAATTATCTAACATTAATTAATTAATTAATTAATTAATATACACTAAAGACTATCAATATTGAAATATATATAATCAATTAATTACTTATTATCATTTGATGAGATAAATATTAACATTTATCTTTAATGTGTAATAATAATGTATCATACGTATAATTACATGAAAAAAAAATGAAGCTCATGTAAACAGTTAGTTAGAAGTGTAACGTAATACTTAAGAGATTGATACAACGAACAAAAAAATGGATGATTGCTATTATGACAGGACACGGGTCGTTAACCAGATGTGCGTGTAATTGACTACCAGCTACGTGTACGTGGAGCTAGCACCTCCATGTTAAAAGAGAGAGAGAGAGAGAGAGAGAGAGAGAGAGAGAGAGAGAAAGAGAAAGGGAAAGAGTGATACAGATGCGTCGTTGCATCTTCTTGCGTGCAACTAGTTTCATATTAGATTATCAGACAATGGATAACCTTGAAAGAGATAGACTAACATAGTCAAGATACAAAGCTTTTCTCTTTCTTTCTCATTTTCTCTCTCTCTCTTTCTTTTTTTTTTTTTAATTTGTTCTTTTACATTATTTACTTCATCCATCCCACGTGCATGTTCACTCGAGCTACACTTATTTGCTTTCGCCCACCTTTTACCGCAAGTTTTCATTGGACCTTATTTAATCGCTGTCGTAACGTAGGGAAATCGATTACGTCCGTCCTTTGACTCTCTACGTTAAACCATTCGTGTTCATACATATGTATTTTAAAAGAAGACACTTTGTCGATATATCGTTTAAGTATGACTATATTTTAAAGCTTGTCGTAGGTCGTTGATGTGTACTTTTAAAAATATTTTTTAATATATATATTTCGTAGAGATGCGTAGTTACATAGTTGAATTTATCTTTTATATAAAAAGAAAAAAAAGTAAAAAGAAATATAAAAGGAAAGGATACTTTATTTTAAAAGTAATATTAGCGAGCTAGTTGATATTTTATACAACATCGTGATAATAAAAACGGATAACGAATTTTTTTTCTTACATAAATTTTGGTTTCAGAGATAATTCTACAGTTAAATTATATTACGAAAATAGGAATTAATATTATTTTAAATTATTAATTATTATTTTCATTGTAAACTATCTAATTTTTGTAATAACTAATCATTACGTAAATAAAGTTTTCATTTGACATAAATTAGAAGAATTTTAGTAGCCCATTTTTTCAATGAGAGAAAGGTTAAGACGAAAAGAAACTTCGGAGAGCTTTGTTTAAATTTAATTCCTTAAAAATGGGGAAATAAATCGAATGGTAAAGACAGAGTTGGCATTTTGTTTGGTTATTTTCTTCGAAAGCTTTCTCGCTATATCATTTTATACGAGTTTGTTCTTCTTTACCCTTGTTGGAAAAAAAAAGGAGGGTTGGTGATGGTTCACGTGGCTTGCACGTGCCGTTCTTACTTTTTATCAACTGTCTTTTCCATTATCTTTTATATTATTTCTCTCTTTTAAATGTCTTTTCTTTACCTTTTAGCATTTTGGCAGCAACCCTACGGAATTA